ATGAAGTATATGCTGTGGCTGTTCTTGTCAGCTTAGGAGAGGGCAAGGCCAAGCTTGCAGGACAGAGAACCACCATCTACTAATGAGACCCCTCCAAACAATATGGCCTGAAAATGGAAACTTCTTGTGCCTTTTTCAGTGAAGTGGAAAGGTGTTTTGATGCCATGCCATTTACTTTAAGAGGATTTGAAGTTGAGAAGAAAGCTCTGATGAGTGTGGTAGAGTGTGCCAAACAAAAGCTGCTGCAAACATTTAATCTCTGTGAGAAGGAGGGTGAATTTGTTGCCCAGTTTAAATTTACAGTCCTGCTCATGGCCAGTGGCCCCATGAGGATAACCAGTGGTCCCTTTGAGCCTGACCCCTACAAGTCAGAGGTAGAGGTCCAGGATGCAGAGCTAAAGGCCCTCCTCCAGAGTTCAGCAAGTTGGAAAACCCAGAAAAAGAAGAAAAAGAAGGCCTCCAAGACTGCAGAGAATGCCACCAGTGGGGCAACACTAGAAGAGAATGGAGCTGGGGACTGAGGTGGGTCCCATATCCCCAGGTTGCCGCTCCTGCCTCATCCCCTCCCACTACACCCAGGCTCTGTGAAGTGCAATTTGACTTCTCCACCCAGGACCGCCAGCAGAGCAGGATCTCCCTGCCCCCACCCCAGTCCCCCAACCCACTCCCCTCCACCAACAACAACCTGCTCCAACTGACTCTGGTTTTGGGAGGCCAGGCTTCCCAGCCTCTGAAGACTACTTTAAATAGAGAAAAAGGAATTGAATAATAAAATCAGGAGTCAAAAAAAAAAAGTCTTTGCATCTATAAGGGCATAAATTTTTATGCCGTATTTTGACCTATCACTTTTCCGTAAGACTTTTACATTACTGAGATTACCATGAGAAATCCCTGCTAAGTACCACAGACCTATGAATGCTTTCAGTTCAGCTAGTGAGGTATCATAATAAATACTTTTTTGAATATGGATATGGATGCATACAGAAAATTTTACTAGCGTTTCAGCCTTTGTGTATTTCACAGGACATTGTAGCATTTTGTCGGTTACAATTTTCAACAATGAATGGCAATGCTGGCCTTCTGTCCAATATGTTTCACCCCTGCCAAGACCCTCACTATATTTTTGGACCTAGCTTTAACATTGGATCCTTCCATTTGCTTGCATGGCCATTTTGCAAAATTTTGACTAGTCGAATATGTATTCACATTGCTGTCTTCTTTGTCATCTGAATGAAGGAGTTCTGCATTCTGTGTCTATTCTATATCTATTCTATGTCTATATCAGTCAAGTCTAACTCCATTTCACTGTCACAGGAACTTTGGCTCACATAGCCAATGTCAAAGTTGTCATCATCATCATTATCATATACCCACATAATTCTTCTGTTATGCAAACATGTATTTTATCATAATGGATCATCTTCATCATTTATGCATAAGTAATCTGATGATTCACATTTGACCTCCAAAACTTGCAAATCTGGTTTTTCATATGCCGTTGTACTGAATTGGACTACTCCTACCAGAAAAATCAAAAGAAATCCTTTTTTAAAAAAACAAATCTTGGAGTGGTGTGGCTTTCCAAGATGATCACATAAACATATGCAAAACCAGTTAGACCAAGCATAATATGGGTAAAAATCCCATTTTACCACTTTTGCACGTGTGTACTCACCTTGATGCTCATCATATCAAGTGGGTAAACAGATTTCTTTCTATATCCCTCAGGGAAAGGTACTGAGACATACAGCTGGCTACTATTATGCTAAAGTACAAATTTACAGTAGAAAAGTAAGGGATGATTCCACTGGACCCGGTGTCATGCTTGGCTGGATAGATAATGCAGTGTATTCAATACACTATTATACACAGTAGTTTTTCTTGTCCTAAAAATTTTCTGTATTTCACCAATTCATCTTTCATTCTCTTGCTCCCTCCCTCCCCCTGAACCCTTGGGAATCCCTGATCTTTTCATTGTACCTTTAGTTTTGCCTTTTCCAAATGTCACATAGCTGGTATCACACAATATGTACCCACTTTAGACTGGCTCCTTGCACTTAGCAATATGCATTTAAGGTTCTTCTATATCTTTGTATGCTTTGATAGCTTATTTCTTTTTATGGTTAAATAATATTTTGATGTATGAATGCGCATTTTGCTTATCTTTTCATCTATTAAAGCATATCTTTTTCTTCCAATTTTCTGCAGTTTTGAATACAATTCTGTAAATATCTATGTGCAGGTTTTTGTGTGGACATAGTTTATAGTTCATTTGGGTAAATACTCAGGAGGGTGATTTCTGGATCATCTGGTAAAACTATGCTTAGTTTTGCAAGAAACTCAGATCATCTTGCAAAATTGCTGCATCATTTTGCATTCTTACCACCAAGAGATAGTTCCTGTGTCTCCCCATCCTGTCCAACATTTGCTGCTTTTGGATTTTGCCATTCTCATAGGTGTGTAGTAATGTTTCATCATTGTTTTAAGTTGTGATTCCTTGATGACATATGATGTATGTGCTATTTGCATATATTCTTTAGTGAGGTATCTGTTCATATGTTTTGCTCATTTTTAGTTATGTTCCTTGTTTTCTTATTGTATAGATTAAGAATTATTTATATATTTTGGATATAAATCCTTAATCAGATGTATGTTTTTGCAAATATTTTCTTCCAGTCTATGGTTTGTCTTTTTATTCCTGTTATGGCTTGTGTCTAGATGTCCCCCTAAAGCCTCATGCAGTCATAGGTGGGGATTTTTCAGAGTTAGTTGAATCTAGAGTGTGTGATTGATTCATGGTGCAATGCTAGGATTAAGGGTGGCTGATTACTAAATTGGTCCACTGATTGGTTTGGCATGGCCCTAATCCTAGCAGCCTGGATGCAATATAAAGAACAATATAAAGGTCTTATTCCTTGCTTGCTTTGCTACCTTCTGCCCACCATGAACTGTTTCTCCTCTGCAATGCTTATCTGCCATGCCACCCTGCCTTGGAGGCAGCTGACTATGGACTGAAACTCTACAAACTGTGAGCTAAATAAACTTTCCCTTCCTTAACTTTGGGTGTCAGATATTTTGTCTCAGCAATAAGAAAAGTAACTAAGGGGGCCAGGGATTTAGTTCAGTGGTTCTGCCGTCTGCCTCACAAGTGCAATGACCCAAGTTCGATCCCTGGTACCAAAAAAAAAAGAAAAGAAAAGTAACTAAGACAACTTGCTTTGCAGTATTAACACAGCAATGACATCTATCTTAACAATTTTTTTCTCTTATGGATTGTATATTTGATGTGGTATCTAAAAAATCATCTCCAAACCTCAAATCACCTACATTTTCTTCGGTGTTGTCTTCTAGAAGTTTTATAATTTTGCATTTTATATTTAGGTCTATGATTTATTTTGAGCTATTTTTTTGTGAAAATTGCAAGGTCTGTGGCTAGATTCTTCTTCCTACTCCTGCTTTTCTTGTTTTCCTTCCTCCTCTTCCTCCTTTTCTTCTTCTCTCCCTTCTGCTGTTCCTCATTCTTCTTGCATGTGGATGTCTAATCATTACAGCATCATTTCTTAAGGCCATACTTTCTCCACTGAATTTTCCTTTCCCCTTTGTCAAAAACCAGTTGATGCTATTTATGTGGGTCTATTTCTGAGCTCTCTATTCTGTTCCATTGATCTCTTTGCCTATTTTCTTTTTGCCAATACCACAATGTCTTGATTACTGTAGTTTTAGAGTAATACTGATATTGGATAGTGTCATTTATGTGACTTTGTTCTTTTAAAAAAATTTTTGCCTCCCTAAATGAGCAATACTGTTACTTTCTTGTTTTATGCATGGCTAGTAGGTTTTCCTTTTTAAAGCCAGACACCATAAATATTATAATGATATAACTATAGAAATCAATTTCTGTCCACCTCCCCAGGGGTTGTGGTTGCTGCTTGTTGTAGGTTGTGTTTGTTTAGTGACCTTTCAAAGCCATTTTTGTGTATTGATTCATTTATTCTTGTGGTGCTGGGGTTGGGGATTAAACCCCAGGCCTTGTGCACACCCTAGGCAAGTGCCTCACCACTGAGCTACATCCCCAGTTCCCTAAATAATAATAATAATAGTAATAATTATTATTACTATTATTATTAAGTACTGGGGATTGAACTCAGGACCTTGCTCTTGCGAGACACGCGATGGGACCACTGAGCTAAATTCCCAGCCCTCTAAATTATTTTTGTAAAGACTGTATGTCATCTTGGGACATTGAATTCTTTGTTCTGTTACCTCTGTGCTCAGCTGGTTACTTGAGGTTTCTTAACTACCTGGAGCAAAACTCAAAACAAAACACCAAAAACAAAACCCAAAATGTCTAATCTCCTTTTCAGACTGGCTCTGTGTTGATGTGCTTCTCCCACATGTATCCAGGCTGTTCAGGATTCTGTCTTAGTCTTTACTTTCTGCTTGCATGGAGCCTAAACTTTTGGGCAGAGGTGAAAGTTTAGCATTTTCTCAGGTGTTCTCTAAGCTGTGTCCAGCTCTGGGCATGTGTGTGAACTTCAAGATTCCCTGGCACACATGGAGCTTTCCAAAGCCTTTTATCTCCTGGGTATTTCCTTTTCCAGACTCCTCCTTCCCTGGCTTTTCAGTGTGTCTGCTGCTTGCCCATCAGTTATCTCTTGTCCCAGCTGGCTACAGCTAGTGTATTTTCCTTTTAATGTTTTCAACAAAAACTGCCCAGAGGCTGCTCTGGCTCTAAGAAAGTTCTAAACTGTGTGTGGAACAAAGGGTAGCCCTGAGTTAACCCCTTAGGGAGCCACTGGACAGGTCAAAATAAGTGACCACAGTTCTTTGCTAAAAAGGTCTATATTGTTCCCTCTGACATCAGCAAGCTTCATAACAGGGGAAAATATTAAAAGTTATGAAATCACTGTGGCAGTAAATGAAGAAATCCTTGAGAATTAAATAGGAGTTTGCAAGTAACCATACAATTGTTGTTCATTTGATGTATATTGTATTTCTAGAAATTGGCCTCAAATTAGAGTGCTCTGAAGAGCAGCCACCTTTTGGATCAACCACTGCATTATGACCCAAGACAAAGAACCTGTTATTGGAACCGTTTATTTAGTTTGCATCCTGACCTTAATAGTTGGAACCATAACCCACATCTGTGAAGAAAGTGAATTTGAAGTGTGCATGTCAAAAAATAACCTTACTCGAATTCCAAAAAACCTGCTGCCCACAACCAAAAGCTTAGATATATCTCAAAACTACATATCTGAGCTTCAGATCTCTGACATCAGCTTTTTGTCAGGGCTGAAAGTTCTGAAAGTTTCCCATAATAGAATCCAGAGACTGGATTTGAGTGTTTTCAAGTTCAATCAGGATTTAGAGCATTTGGATTTATCTCATAATCAGCTGCAAAAGATGTCCTGCTACCCTGTGGTGAGTCTGAAGCATCTAGACCTCTCATTCAATGACTTTGATGTGCTGCCCATATGTATGGAATTTGGCAACTTGACACAACTTAATTTCCTAGGATTAAGTGCTGCGAGGTTTCAACAAATAGATCTGCTACCGGTTGCTCACTTGCATCTAAATTACATTCTTCTGGTTTTGGGAGATTATTATAAGGAAAATGTAAGAGAAAAGCTTCAAATTCTGAATACAAAAACACTTCACTTTGTTTTTCACCCAAAAAGTTTATTCTCTGTTCAGGTGAACATATCAGTTAATACTTTGGGGTGTTTACAACTGACTAATATTAAATTGAATGATGAGAACTGTCAAGTTTTTGTTAAATTTTTATTAGGACTCATTAGAGGTCCAATGTTACTGAATCTTACTCTCAATCATATAGAAGCCCCTTGGAAATGCTTGGTTGAAATTTTTCAATTCCTTTGGCCCAGACCCGTGGAATGCCTCAATATTTACAATTTAACATTAGATGAAGTTGTTGATGATATACAAGTCACTTATCCAGAAACAACATTGAAAGCCTTGAAAATAGAGCATATTACAAAGCGAGTTTTTATTTTTTCACAGACTGTATTATACAAAGTGTTTTCTGAGATGAATATTATGATGTTAACCATATCAGAGACACCTTTTATTCACATGCTTTGTCCTAGAACATCCAGCACATTTAAGTTTTTGAACTTCACTCAAAATGTGTTCACAGATAGTGTTTTTGACACATGTTCCACTTTGGTGAGACTGGAGACACTTATTTTGCAAAAGAATAGTTTAAAAGACCTTTTTAAAGTAAGCCTTATGACTGAAAATATGCTATCTTTAGAAACACTGGATGTTAGCTGGAATTCTCTGGAATCTCATAGATATGAAGAAAATTGCACTTGGGCTAAGAGTATAGTGGTATTAAATTTGTCTTCAAATTCACTTACTGATTCTGTATTCAGATGTTTGCCTCCCAAGGTCAAGGTACTTGATCTTCACAACAATAGAATAACCAGCATCCCTAAGAATGTCACCCATCTAGAAGCTTTGCAAGAACTCAACATTGCTTTCAATTCTTTAACCGACCTTCCTGGATGTGGTACCTTTAGCAGCCTTTCTGCACTGATCATTGACCATAATTCAGTTTCCCACCCATCAGCTGATTTCTTCCAGAGCTGCCAGAAGATTAGGTCAATGAAAGCAGGGAACAACCCATTCCAATGCACATGTGAGTTAAGAGAGTTCATCAAAAATATAGATCAAGTGTCAAGTAAAGTAGCATGGGACTGGCCTGATTCTTTCAAGTGTGACTATCCAGAAAGCTCTAAGGGAATCCTGCTAAAGGACTTCCATGTGTCTCCACTATCCTGCAGCCCCACTCTGCTTATTCTTACCATTGTGACCACCATGCTGGTGTTGGCTGCTACTGTGACCTTCCTCTGCTGCTACTTCGATTTGCCCTGGTATCTCAGGATGATGTGTCAGTGGACCCAGACCCGGCACAGGGCTAGGAACATCCACTTGGAGGAACTCCAAGGAACTCTCCAATTTCATGCTTTTATCTCATACAGTGAACCTGATTCTGCCTGGGTAAAAAATGAATTACTACCAAACCTAGAAAAAGAAAATTTACAGATCTGCCTCCATGAGAGGAACTTTGTTCCTGGCAAGAGCATTTTGGAAAATATCATAAATTGCATTGAGAAGAGTTACAAGTCCATCTTTGTTTTGTCTCCCAACTTTATCCAGAGTGAGTGGTGCCATTATGAACTCTACTTTGCCCACCACCAGCTCTTCCATAAAGGGTCTAACAACTTAATCCTGATCTTACTGGAACCCATTCCTCAGAACAACATTCCCAGCAAGTATCACAGGCTGAGGGCTCTCATGGCACAGCGGACTTACCTGGAATGGCCCACAGAGAAGAGCAAACATGCACTTTTTTGGGCTAACATTAGAGCTGCTTTTAATATTAAATTAACACTAGCCACTGACAACAATGATGTGAAAACTTTAAAAAGCCAGGAAATTCAACTTAAGAGACTCAGACTCTGATGAACTTGATGGTTTTAAGTTACAACTGGAGGTGCTTCCATTCTTTCCATGTATTTGGAAAAGACTTAATGAACACGTTGTTCCAACTGAGCTGGGGAATTGGGCTGGGAGTGAAGGTGGTGCTCCTTTTGCAGTTTAGCTATGGCTCAGTCTCTTCTGGTTTAATTATCTGTTTTCACACTGAAACAGCCCTTTCTGAGTAACTGTGCAGTCATCTGGGGAGATTTCCCCTCCCCTTTCCTTTCCTAGATGGATTCTGTGTGACCAGGAGACTATGTAGCTTCAGGTCATCAAGAAAAGAATCAAGCTCTGAATTGTGCACATGGGTCCTTGGAGTGTGGATGGATTCTCATTGGACCCTGGATGAGCTTTATCATCCTGTTCAGCTTTGGGCCTTGAGAAAAACTTATTCCAGTGTGAATATAAGAAAGCATGTTTTTCCATATCTGAACAATAGTTTAAAATTTTTTGATTCTCATACAAAGATATGTGATAACCAGTAGAGACTCACAGCATAAAAATGTATATATATAAAGAGAAACAAAAGATGCAGGTGAACTTACTTGCCAAGGAAATATAGGGCCAAATTTACTCGTATGTGTAACGGGATGTTGAATGGGGTTTGTCTGGTTGTCTTAGAATTCTGACTCATGCCCCAGGGCTGGCCTGGATACTTCTACCTTGTTTAAACAACTATATTTTGGATTCCTCTGATAGAGCATCTTGATCTGCACCCTCAAGAACACAGACATCTGTGACACAAAGTAGTGGACAGTTCTCCTGTTATGACAGGACCGTGTGTGTTCCACTCTGCGACCTGGTGCAGAGCAGCCGCCATCCCAAGGCACTGCTGCCTCTCACCTGTACAACTGCAAAATGGCCTCTTCACTGTCCTCCTTGCTGCACTCTTGCCACACACATTTTCCGAACAGCAATCAGAGTAATTTAAGGTGTAAATTCTACTAAGTTGTTCCCTGCGTAAAACCTCCTACCCACCTACCTTCCTCCTTCTGTCTCTCCTCTTGTCCGAGTTGCCTTTTGGTGTTCTGAATGCCTCACCATTGGCTTACGCCGGTCTCACCCCTGCACTTGGCTGAGGCACTTTCCTCTGAGTCAGCTTGGCTATCCTCACCATTACGTCACACTCCAATACCACCTCAGCAGAGGGCCTCCCGTGGTCTTCTGGTCACATCCTGCATGTTTCTCTCGATGTTACCTTCCTGGCACGTCACTCCCTGCACTTACCTTGCTTACTTGTGTTCAGCTTCCCTGCACTAACTGTAAGTGGCAGGAAAACAGGAACCTACTAGAGAGTTCACTGCTTCTCCCTGGTGCTGAGGGGCCAGTGCGTGGCCCATGGCAGATCCGGAGTGAACACCTGCATGAAGAAATAGCCCTAATCGGCCTCAATGTCATCACAGTCCTCGATTTTATCCTACATGACCTTGAGGTCACAGTGCAGCTGGGCTGTGGTGGGAGGGCTCTGGCAGGGTCCACACTGAGCACCTGTTGGGCCGGGGGTCCCTGCCCCACTGCCCTGTGAGCTGCCCTTGGCCTTGAGCACCTGGGGCCTGTTGTGTTTGAGTGCAGCAGCTGCTCTGCTGAGGGCTCTGTGCTCCTCTCCCCAGGCCACTTCAGGAGGCCAGAAGACCCAGCTTTCACCTTTCACCGGAAGCTGAGAGAGAGGAGCGCAGCCTTGCAGAAGCTGGATGAGCACTTCTCATTGCCCACCTGGCGCTCTCCCTGGCCTGGGTGGACAGAGCCCTTTTGTTTTTTGTTTTTGTTTTTTTTTTGGTACCGGGGATGGAACCTTTTATTTCGAAGGCTGTAAAAAAGTACACGTATTTAATCAGTATAGATGCTGTATTTATGTATTGAAATATCACACTGTACCTCATAAATACGTACAACTTTTACATGTTAATCAAAAAAATTTTTTAATGTAAATCTAAGGAGGGGAGGGAAGGAGATGGAAAAAAGAATTGAGATGGGTTACACGCATGTACCAACTCTCCAGGATTCATTATGTACACAAACATGTATGAAGAAATTTATGAGAAATAAAAAACAAAAATAAACACGTATATCTCAAAATAGCTCAAATAGATTTTAACTGTTCTTACCACAAAGAAATGGTAAGTATGTGAGATAATGACTGTGTTAATTAGCCTGATTTAATTACTCCACAAGATTGTATACAATAACATCATGTTATACCCCATAAATATGTACATTTATTATCTGTCAACAATAAATTTTAAAAACTAAAAAATTTTGTTCTCTGTCATTTCTTGGGTAGCTTAAAAAATGGACTCAGGAAAATGCAAAAACAAACCAAAATCCCATACAGGTGACCCCTCCCTTCCTCCCACGTTTGTGCTATGCTTTCATGTGCCCCCAATGAACTTGCCACAATTTCAGAAGTTTGCCTTCACATGTTTACATTTGCTAACACTGGAAGGAACAGTACACTGCAAAGATAAGCTCAGACAAGGAAGGTGTCAGTCCATTTGAGACTTTGAGATGAAAGTGCCACAGTCTGGCTTATAAACAACAGAAATTTATTGCTCTCAATTTTGGAGGCTGCGAAGTCCACGATCAAGGTGCTGGCGGATGTGGTGCCTAGGAGAGGCCTGCTTTCTGATTCACAGATGCCTGTCTTGTCACTGTCTTCCTCAGAGGGAGGAGTGAAAGAGCTTCCTGTTTATCTTTTTAAAAAACACCAGTCTCACTGGGTGTGGTGGTGGACGTCTGTAATCCCAGCACTCGGGAGGGTGAGGCAGGAGGATGCTTCGAGTTCAAGGCAAGCCAGTGCTACATAGTTCAAAGCCAGCCTGAACTATGTAGCCAGACCCTATCTCAAAACACCAAAAAGGGGGGGGGGCACTAATTCCATACATAAAAATTCTACTCACATGACTCAATCAGCCCCCAGAACCCTGACTCCTAATACCATTAATTTGGGATTAGGGTTTCAATATAAAAATTTTGACACAATTATTCAAATCATGGCAAAACAGATGGAAACCTAGGTTATTGATCAGGGAGGCTGGTAGGATGAACGCTGTTGAAAGGTCTTTGGGCAACCTGGGGCAGCATAGGGGTCCTGGGCCTGTGGCTGGGAAGAAAAGCCCTTTAGAGGAGCCAGCCCAGGGGCAAAGCTGGAAGTCACAGGGCAGTGTGAGTAGAGAGAGAGTGGAATTGCAGCCTTGCTAGATGTGTTAGTTTCCTAAGGTGCAGTAACAATCGCTCACTAACTGGGTGGCTTATACCAACAGAAAAGGATTTCTCATAGTTTCAGAGGTCAGAAGTCAGTAGTCAAGGTGCTAGCGAGAAACTCTGAGGGGGAAATTATCCCCTGCCTCTTGACTCTTGGCTTCTGGTGGTTGCTGGGAATTCTTTGTGTCACTTGCCCTATAGATGTATTGCTTCAATCTAGGCCCCACCTGTTCTCTAAGTCCCCCATGTCTTCTCTTTTTGTCTCTGATAAGGACATTGTAGCTGGATTTAGGGGCTTTCTCAATCCTTTGTCATCTCATCTTGATCCTTAGCTTAATTACATCTGCAAAGAGTCTATTTCCAATAAGGTCAGCTTCTGAGGTTCCAAGTGAACATGAATTTGAGGGGGAGAGAGGGCACTTATTCAACCCTCCACTCTGGGGTTGGTGTGACTGTCTCTGACGGCCTGGAGACTCAGCTGGGCGTAGCAGGTGGGAAAAAAGCTTTCTCGGAAGGAAGGAAGGATCTGAAAGAAGCTGCTTGGGAAGTCAGAGGGACAAAGAAGGGAAAGATGGGCGTGAGAGAGGGGTGGGGCCAGTGGATGGAGGGTGGGGATGTAAATGGGACAGGTTGTGAGTTTTAAAGGGAATGAGAGCTTGCATAAAAAAAGGAAATATTTCAGTCTAGATTTTTGGAGACTGATTTGATTAGCAAGGAATGAGAATAAACTACAGGCAGTCAAGTAGACCTGAGGGGATTTCTGAAACCACAGGGACTTTCTGAAAGTTTTAAATTCTAGGTAATGAGGAATGTCAGGATAGTTAAGTCTCAGTGTGAGATAGTTTAAATTTTCCTTTAGCAATTCCAGCAACTGGATTGTGAAATTCTTCTCTTCTCACACCTGGATGAGAGCTGGGGCACATTTCATACTTCTTCAGTATTTTTTAGGTATTATTACTGCCATGTAAGGATTTATGGCCATTGGTTCAGAAAGTCTACTTCATGGACTATCTTCCTATCTTAAGGAAATAATTGTTCATACACATCCAAGAAAAATATTGCTGCTTATTTCAGAGTTGTTTATAATAGTGAACATTTAGAGTAAATTTAAATGCCAACTATAGAAGACTGGATAAATACATTGTGAATTCAAATGTTAAAAAAATTATAAATAAAATGGAATACTATTCAGCCAATACTAATAAAGTTGTGGATACTGACATGAAAACATATTGATTATATATTATAGATTGGAAAAGGAAATTAAAACACAACACACACAATATAATGCTACCTGTGTATGTGTGTGTGTGTGTGTGTTTGTAGGTAAATTGGTACCTAAACTTTCTAAACAGCAATTTGCCAGTAAATATGAAGAGCCTAAAGCATGTTCATAGATAGAAAAAAATCTGCATTGATATAACAAAAAAGGGATTGTGTGGTGGGATTATTGTTAGTTTAATATTTTTCTTTTCACTTAATTGTGTATTTCCTGATTTTTCTCCCCCCCCCATTAACTTTATTGGTACATTTTAGGTATAAAATACAGTTACATTCATCATTGGGATTTTTTTTT